CCTACTATCAGCAATCTCAACGCCATCAGTAGTCCTTATTAAGGGGATTTGATGCCTGTTCCTTGTAGTTCGTCGGAGGTAGTTGTAGAGCAATTTTGGGTTCTGCGTTGCTTTTTGTAGCAAGTTCTTCTCGAATTCCCGCCGCGTCTGCATTATCAGCTTCCTCAGTTTGTTCCTCTGTGTCTTGTAGGTTTTGAAGCATTCAGCTTGTCTAGTGACGCAGTATTATCTCCACAATTTATGCTTCCTGTTGATTTCTTTCTTGAGGTTGCTATTTAGCCACCCAGGGCGTTTGTTCAGTCTCACACTAGTCAGTGGGCAGTGATTGTTGATGGGCTGCAGAAGGACATTCTCGAAAAGCTCCCAGTCATCGTTGGCACTTCCCGTAAACAATGAGCCCCTGTCAAGACCGGATAAGTCTGCCCTCATCTGATTGAAGTCGCCCCGCCAAACATTACGTCTTTTGTGGTCTGGAGTATGTGATATAGAATAACGAATAATCCCACATAAGCACTACGTGGTCACTTCGGCCAAGGGGCGGCATGGAGGCGATCTCGTCTATGCTGTCTGGTGTTTTCGTAAAGACCAGATCCAGGCAGTTTGCCCTTTGTCCTTCACGTGTTCTCGTTGGGAACGTTACATGTTGTGTGAGGCACGCATTTAATGTTTTGCTCAACAGGCGGTAATCGAATGCCGATTTTGGACCTGACGCTTGGAGGGTATTCCAGTTTGTTCCGGGTGCGTTGAAGTCGCCCATGATCATGATGTTAGGTCGACTGGAAAATTTTTCCAACTGCTCCAATAGTTGAGTGTCGGCGATTCGGTCTGTCCTAGGTGGTCGGTAGACAGTGAGGACATCGAGACACGGGGAACCGGTAGCCTTTATGGTCAACCAGATAGCTTCCGTACTACACGCAAACTTGGTGGTGTTATCCGACACTGCCAGACCGTCATTCACATACACAACGATACCACCACCCTGACGATGTTCCCTGTCCCTCCGATAAATTTGGTATCCAGGCAAGGCTACTTCGTTATCGCTAATATTCCCAGACAGCCAGGTCTCTGTTACTGCTAAAACATCTGGAGACTGCTCAACAAGGCAAAGTTTTAGTTCGTCTAGTTTCGATATGAGGCTTTGGGCATTCGTGTACAAACACCTCAGTTTAGCACCAGCCGAAGTTCCCGTTGCATTTGTTCCTGCTGTCAGCATTACTCCGTTATCGCGGACGTCGTGTTCTCTAGGCTCTTCCGTTACCTGATTGGTTCCATTTACATGCCTTGTTTCAGTCAAATCACTGGACGCTACGGGCTCACTTGTGTTGGCGCCTTGATCAGGTGGTTCAACGAAGGTGTCTGTTTTAGCTGAGTAGCTGTCGTCGTTCGTAGTATTACAGGCTGGTTCCACTGAAACGGCATATATTTCCGAACTACCTTCCCCTTGAAGAAAGCCAGATTGTGTTCGCCATCCTTCAGTCTTGATTTTAACTCCAAGACAAGTTCCCGGCGTTTCAACCGTTCCGCTGGTGAATAGTCCGGTTGAAAAAAACCCGTTTGTGTGTGTTTCTGAGATCGCATTTTTTAGAGAGGATAAACTTGATTTGCTCTTTGTTCTCCAGCATAATTTTGAGAGGGCGAGGTGTTTGTGCTACTGTCCTGTCTTCACTCCTTTTTCCTATCCGGAATGCTTTCAGAACCTTTATTTCCATGTCTGCCGGCAGTAAATGATTTAGCAGCCTATGAAAAGAAGCAAGGTCCTCTGAGACACGGTCTTCAGGTCTGACTGCATTGGATTCTGACAGACCCTGAATAACCAGACACTGCTGGCGAGCATGGTCCTCCTTACTCTGTCTTTCCGGTGAATGCGCTGCATGTGGGCGGGGACGGTTTACGGAGTCATCGTTTGGACGCACACTTTTACTGTCTACCGACTGTCCCGAGCACCCCATCAGGGTTGGCTGTGACTTCAGAATCCTGTCGTGGCGTTTCCCTCTCCCCTCTACCCACGGGTTTATGTCTTCGCATTCAGATATGTGCTCTGTAGTGCGCTCGGGGTGGTTGCCAGAACAAGAGGGCAACAGTAGACTGGATGACCCAGGTATATCGTCTCCAGGCAGAACAGAAATCTCATCACTTACAGCAAGAGGCTTAGGTGAGATGGCTTCCGCGACAAGTAATTTTTTTGCGACATCGCTTAAGACATCGTGCGTGGGAATCGAGTCTCCCTTTATCGGCGGCTTCATTTTCATTGTCCTGCTGTTACCGGCGTCTGCGGTTTTGGCTGTTGAGTTGCTACTCGTGTTTGAACATTCCCCCGAGAAGATATTTTTTCGCGTTTTTTGCGTTTTGCTCTTCGTTGTTGGGATTCTAACACTGGACACGTTCTGGCCGACTAGGGTCTGTTTCACGAGCGTCCTTAAATCAGCAAGCTCTTTTTCCAGTTGTTCTACTTTGATTTGAATATCTGCGCACCCACCACAAGACTCGTCTTCTTACCTTACACTTTTGCGGTATTTACGCTTTTTGCACGCTTTGCTGGTCGTTGGCTGGAGGCGAAGGTAGAGCGAGCACACGTTCTGGATGCGAAGGACAACTCACGGACTTATCATCGAAAGAGGTGCCGTCGCTGGCCGTACTACTACAGTTAGCTTGCTGAGAATCCATAAACTTTGACGTGATATACTAGGTATAATTTCGCTTTCGATGTTATAACGAATACGTCGGCTTATATATGGTGAATAAAAGTGAGTATTCAAAACTCAATAAGCGAAAAAATACTTAAAATCCGATAAATTTTGTTGAATTTAATCAGAAGCGACTTAGCCCTTTCCAGATCTCGTGGGACTTGAATAACTGCAGACCTTGAAGGATTTTGAGCGATTGGTTTTCTAGGCTGTATATCCGTAAATCGGTTGCGTAGCCAGTTGCATTGTCAGTTGGACCGTGCTGATAAACAAATTGCACTTAATCCAGGTTCCTGGCGAATTTCGATGCGTGAAAAAATATTCCAAAAATGCACAAAGTAATTCTGTACGTACGGTTGCAGTATCAATGTCAGAGACTGTAACTGTGGAATGGTAACCAAGTCGAAATTGTCCCAGTTGGAGGGCAGGATAATTTCGTCGTAGGCCATCATTCTGACAGCCTAACTGATGCAAAGGTGCCAACTCCTGAGGTTGCTCGCACCAGTGGCCGTTGTCTAGAAATCTATCACACTAACTGTCAGAGTCTTCTTAACAAGCTAGATGAACTCAGATTACTAGTCTCTGAACAGAAGCCACACATAATTGTCCTAACAGAGACATGGTTGACTGAGGAAAGTAGCGAAGTTAGTATTGAAGGCTACCAACTGTTCCGTTGTGACAGATTTCAGTGTAGAGGAGGAGGCACAGCGATTTATGCGTCAAATGAAATTGCGTGCTGTCAACGAGAAATATCCGATGGTGCGCCCCGAAATTTTGATATAATTTCATGCAAGATATTTATCAAACAATTACCGAAACTGAACCTGTGTGTTGTCTATCGGCCTCCTAGCTCGAATGAAATCGCCGATATGGAATTACTTAGTGCACTGGAGTTGTTACGTAAGCAGGAGAACTTACTACTTCTGGGTGACTTCAACGCTCCAGGAATAGACTGGAGCCGTCCACGTCATTTGACCACAGGCTACTTCAACTCTCCCTGAATGAATACCTCATTCAATACATAAAATTCGGAACAAGAATGAGAGAAGGACAACGATCTTACTGTTTAGATCTCGTTTTCAGTAAAGAAGAAGGACTCATAAAGGAAGTGAATCCACAACCTCCACTCGGTTTAAGCGATCATGTTGCTTTTACATGCGTGTGCTCTCTCCTATCCAACCACCAACCAAAAATCAAGAGGCGCAGAAATATTTGGAAGGGTGACTTTAACGCAATGAGACGCACTCTTTTGGAGGAAACCTGGTTGGTCAAAACAGAAGATTCAGACGAATACTGGCAGTACTTTCGCGGGATTATAGAGCGTCTAATGGATTTCCATTATCCAATAAAAATAACAAGGCCATGTTCGCGACCGCCGTGGGTTAATCCGACGACAAAAAAGACCATAAAGAAGAAGAAACAGAGACTCTGGAAAAAGTATTTGCAACTTCGAGATCCAAGGTCATTCGCCGAATATAAGGATCAGCGCAATAAATGCCGCAAACAAATACGGGTTGCTAGAACTTCTTTCCAGCGCCGACTGATAGCAGAATCCATTACATGTCCCAAGAATTTTTATGGGTACATCCGCAGTAGGAGGAAACATAGGGACAAAATTGCGTGTCTAAAGTATAGCCTCGGAAACTTATTAGTTGAAGGACCACAGAAAGTGCGATTACTGTCTCAGATTTTTCAGTCGGTTTTTTACGGAGGAGTCCTTAGAAGACAATCAGCAGTTTGTAATGGACCGAAACAGCCAGGAGCTTTAAATGCGCCAAGATATTGCCGTCATTGAAACCGTCGCGTTTTCCGTCGAAGAAGTAAGACGCCTCCCCAGTCAAATAAAACCATATAAGTCTCCTGGACCCGATGGAATTCATGGGCTGATACTTAAGGAGCTATCAACGGAGCTGTCAAAGCCTCTTTCGACTTTCTTTGAGCTGTCAATGAGAACAGGGAGGCTGCCCTCACTGTGGAAGACAGCTTATCTCGTTCCATTGCATAAGGGAGGTAGCAGGACGACAGCAAGCAGCTTTAGACCTGTTAAAATAGAATAAGTTTATTGTAGCGTCCCTTGGGCACTGTAAGTCCCCTTTGAACTCAGGAAAAAAACCTAAAACAAACTCGTCAATTTCAACTGCACTTTGACTTCATTTGTTTCGGGTGTCTGGTTAGCCAAAAGAGCGCGAATTGAGAGTTTGTTTTAAGTTAAAATAACCTCAGTTCTAAGGGAAAATGATAACAAAATTTTCGAAAAATAACGATATGTACAATATAAAAATTGAAGTTAGCTTAACTTGCCTCCCTTGCAAAACGATGGAAGCTATAGTAAAGAACGCTATACAGCAATTTTGTGAAGAAAATAACATCTTGCAGGATTTTCAACATGGCTTCTGGAGAGGACGTTTCTGCCTCTCAAATCTGCTAGCTTGTCTGGAGATCTGGACCAGGGCTCTAGAAGAGAGTTTTGAGGTCGATGCCGTGTACATCGATTTCCTCAAAGCTTTTGACACTGTCCCACACCAACGTCTTCTTCACAAACTGAGCGCCATCGGCATCCGGGGTGATCTTCTGAACTGGATTAGGGCGTTTCTGGTTGGTCGGAAACAACGTGTCTGTATCGGAAATAATATGTCAGAATGGGTGAACGTGACCAGTGGTGTGCCACAAGGCTCAGTTCTGGGACCAGTGCTCTTCATCCTTTACGTTTACGACAGCCTTCAGGAACTCGACTGCGGCAAAATAATATTTGCAGACGATGTTAAGCTTTGGCAAGTCATTAAGGGACCGAATGATCAGAGATCCCTTCAAGATAATTTGCACCGACTGCAAGCGTGGTCGAAGAAATGGCTTCTAGATTTCAATGTGGAGAAGTGTGCCATCCTTCATCTGCGTCCAACCAACTCTCATTCAAATGAGAACCTGAGGACATATCACCTGAAAGATATAAGGCTCCCCGCAGAATCTTCACAGAAGGATCTCGGGGTTTGGATACAGAATCACCTGAAACCAAAACTGTAGTGCCACAAGGCTGCAAAAAACGCCATGGGAGTGCTGCATGAAATCAAAAGGGCTTTCGTTAACTTTGACCAAGACCTTTTTTGGAGAGTTTACGGCACTTTTTTTCGGCCCCACTTAGAATATGGCATACAAGCATGGCGGCCATGACTAGTAAAGGATCAAGCATGCCTCGAACGAGTACAACGGCGTTCAACAAAGCTGGTAAACGGTCTAAAAAGCCAATCCTACACAGACAGACTTAATTGCCTTAATTTATTCCCTCTGTATTACAGGTAGCAAAGAGGTGATCTTATCCTCGTCTACAAGATAATACATGGCCTTGAGCATGGACTTAAATTTGAGGACATGTTTCAGTGGCAACTTTCACCCAATCTTCGTGGTCACTCGATGAAGTTACGGACAACAATGTCCAGGCTGAAGCTTCGTTCTGAATTTCTCACGCAGAGGGTAGTGGAGAAATGGATCGATCTCCCTCAGTCAGTCGTGGAGGCTACGTCTCTGCACCTCTTCAAGAAACGCTTGGATGATTATTTGTGTCCCCTGTTTTCCCTCAACAGTCTGAATCTGAACTAAGTACCCCGCGATCCCACCTTTTTATCGCTGAGACAATGTTACTCAAATGAATCAAGTACTGTTTTAAAAAAGGATATTTTTATTGTTCGTGAACAGTTATTTCTAACGGGCTGACATGAAATCAGTTGGATTTTCAAAGCTTTGCCTATTACCCTTACCAAATAACCTGAAACTTTAAGGGGTCTTATGTTTGTTTTTAGGTCACGACGTTGGTCCGCTTTGCCTAGTCGGAAAGATTTTTTCCGATGAATATTTTCCCATCCTTCAGGTTGGCACTGGTATATTGACGAAGAAGGTATAGGTCATGCATCACTCGTTCCTTCAGAATTCAGGACGTGAACTCTGGGAACCCCTTATTAATAATAATAAGATAATAAATGTTGCATCTGAATAAACTAGTTCTATTTTTCGATCGTTATTTAACCATCACACGCTATCCGCCTCTTTGATCGTGAATGCTTGAATAATGGACCTTTTAAGGACGAACTCTCATGGACAAGATTTTGCGGCAAAGAAATGGAAGCTACACACTAATACGGGTGACCCCCCATCTAGCCTTCCACCGAGTCAATTGGACGTTACCTTAGCGTAACTAACGAAAATCGGGGAAATTTTGGCTCCATCTGAACAATCGCAGATCCGATAACGCAATCCAAAAACCAATCGAAAACGAACATACGCAATGCTGGCTAGTTAAAACAAACCAATGGCAAAGTCCAGTATGCTTAAAAGGCAAACTAACATAATTAAATAGAAATGCGATGACTAATTGCGTTTCATTGCTGACAGCCTAAACTGATTAGCATCAATATTGAGCATTTGCGGTAAAGTCCACCAATTAAGCAGATCAAACGATAGGCACATTTTTGCTGCCATATCTAACCGGCTGACATTGCCGGACGGTCCACTGCAAGCCGGGAGCCATAAAAAATTCAATGTTTGAGCGGGCTACCTGAAATTTCCAAAACGGACGTCCGTATTTTAACCTACTTTCTGTCGTTCTCTCACTCGGAACACCAGCTTTTCGTATCTGTTATATGCGCCATTTTCGCATCAGGCTCTTAAAATGTGTCCGCAGCCTCAGTGATTGCTTTAGTGCTACGCATACGAGTTAGGGGGTAGCAACCAAACCAACCATTTTTGAGAACTAGAACTTAACCTGCGGAAGTCCAGAAAGGCATTCTCCTTGCCGTTTCGACCTTTTCGGCCTGCAAAAATTCATGGATGTCGTACACTTTAAATAACGCTGCCGTATTTCTGTCAATCTTTCTGTAGAGCACATGAAAAACACGTAGGCACTTCTTTCCTTGTTATAGCAATCGGTTGCCAAAGAATGCACATTCCGCTGATATTTCTTACTCGAACGAATTTCTTAATGGAATCCTCCGGATCGTTCAGTAATTAGAGGTGTCATGCAGACATCATTTAATAAAACTTAAAGTCATGGAGTGTCGTAGATGTCATTGTAGCTCGCGCGAAAATGTCGACCAATGGCCTGATGGCTGGCGGAGCACTCCGCAAATCACTTCCTTTAGTCATTTGCAAAGCAATATGAGGTTCGTGGTATTTCGAACTAATACAAATTTTCAGTTTCATTCTAGCTGTTAATGCCATTCATTTTGCGGGCTTTAAACCTATAGGACCTTTCACTGTGTTACCACAATAGTGCTAACGCGTAAGCTGCAGTTGTCTATGCTCAATATTAAGTCAGGTATACCTGATCAGATATTTCTAGCGACGGGACTCGCAGATGAACTTAAGTTGCCTCATACGGGCCGTTAACTGTGATGAAATGGTGCGCTGCATTAATGAATCAGACATAACCCTAGAGTTTTGACGTGACCCGAATGAAGTTGGTTGTTTATCATAAAAAGGTCATGCCTGCAGGCCTGCGCGCGTTGACGCATGGATATGAACCAAGTCTCCGTCTTATCTGCTTTTGTAATAAATCGCTCTGTGCTCTCCAACGTATGCATATTCTATGTTCATTTCCTCCAATGGAAATGAGGCCCATACCCTCTCTTGGTTCTTCATCCGCACCCACGTCCACAGTTTTCCTTAGCCCCCGTACGTAATCACTAAGAGGAGTGCACGTTCTACAGCCTTCATATGGATCAGCATCCTTGGTGACTCATAGCTCCACGATACTCACGCCATTTTTCGTAACCTCGGAGATATCGCGCGTGATTTCGTGCCAGTACGACAGCATAGTCTGGATTCGACTGATCGTGGTAAATCTTTGCAACAAACATGCCTGAGGTGGGCCAAAATCACTTTCTGACTTATGACTGACCGGCATACCATGTATACCAGTGTGCGCTACCAACTCCGATGCATGCTTGAAGCTACCCACATTAAGTGGGACGATATTAATCATGTGACGCTATAAGCCTAAGTGGGCATACTGCCCCCTCGACACTGGGGCCGCACTGCACGCGGTCGTTGTCCCTGACAGTGCTCTACCAAACAATTTAAATAGGGATAGCGGTGTTGTCAGGCAACAATGCGGTGTGCGCGAGTGGATAGCCAACAACCTCACCATCTTCATGACCAGCTTGTCCGTAACTGTCGTATTTGCTTTTCTCACACTGTACGTACGGAAACCCTGCACACTGACGTAACTGACGCTATTCATAGAATTGTGCGATTCCCCGTCTTCAACACTCGTAGGCCAATCTGAGTCATAACGCTGGCCGACAATCCCTATTATCATTCCATCACGTAAGTATCCCAGCTAATCAGTGCGTGGGTGTATTCCCCGCATGAGAATGACGAGAATAGGTCGGAATAATGTTGGCATTTGTTGATAGGGGAGCTCCCACCAATTTCAGGTAGTGAACGTTGTTAATATTATCAATTATTTTCCCAGCAAACTTTCGATAATCTTTGTCGTTGCGACTACATTTGGAAAATTGTCAATGCATCCCCATTATGTCGGCTAGAGACATCAGAGTTATTGCGAAGCGCATCTTTGTTAGTTCGTGACACTAATAACTGGGCTGCTATAAATACATGCGATCTGATTTGTCCGGAAACGAGGCGTACAGCATCAAGAGCTGTTGCCTGATGATAACTTTGATTAGCAAGCTGAACGTGTGCACACCAGGTCGTCATTAGTAATTTCTCTGCGCGGCAAGAGATAACGCAATTGAGAGAGTCCATATTTTGAGACCCAGCAGGCTGAATGATCATGAATCCAAAATGCTTTTAGATTGATGGCTATTTATGTATTTAAATTTTTACCGGTCTGCCTTATCAACACTATTCTGCTCATATTGCTGAAAGTTTACAGAATCTATGAATCTTTCGATTGTAGCCAGCCACTTAGTTTCCGCCCGGGACCTCCATCCTTTCGCACCAGGCAGCCGCCGCATAAGGGGTACGTTTGGACCTAACTTATGCTTTTCAATTTTTAGTTATCCGGACGCGCCAGCAAATGTTAACTTGAAAAATTATTCAGCTGTTTTTTTCATCCCGGTAGTTATTTTGGTGTGGACCGCCTCATGTGCCTTTAGTAAAGATTTCATTTTTTCTTATGCTCTAGCGGCCGTGGTGTCTATTACCTGACCCATATGCCTTTTGACCCAGTTTGCTGCGCCTCAGTCTTTCCTGGTGCAACCGCAGTCCCTGAGGAGGATAATTTCGTCAATGCCATCATGGTTCACCATTCTAAGCTCACACCATCGTCAGATGAGCAACAGGCAGTTGCATCCCTTGTAACCAAAGTCACGGAGTGCCTGGAGGCGATCGCTGTATACCCTGGGAAATTCGAGCAAAACGTGCGTCCCATGTTTCACTCTTATAGCCATCCGTTGTACCATCTTGTCGGCAACGCATTTAGCCTGTAGGATTTTTTACGTTCACTACTCTAGCATATTGAGGAGACGAGACCGATTGGTTCCTTCAAGAAGGGCACTATGCTGGCTGGCCATTGTGTGGCCGATCTGGTTGTTATCCTTCGCGCCTTGCCCACATTCGAGGCCACCTCCGCTCTGGGCCAACTTCTGAAGGAGGAATTTCTTGCAAAAGAGACAGACGCCAGCGGGGACGACGATCTTGAAGTCCATGCGCGACCCTACGGCTTTGATTTCTCTTACCTTGGGGCTACTATCCGCGTTGCCTTTTCCGCTCACCAATCGCTGCTAAAGAAAATCAATCCGGAAGTCCATGGTGAGCGCATTTCTTATCTCATATCCACATTTCCTCCGCAGTGTAATTATGTTAGATGGGCCGGTGAATTATCATTCTAAAGGACCAGGTTTCAACCTGGTCGACGACATTTGAGGAAAAGATAGCACAGGCAAAACCGAAGATTCAAGAGTTAATATGCATGAAAATTCTCTAAAGTCAAGCGACAGAAAAAAAAACATCGATCATTTTGTCAAGTCTCGGGACCGTCAGCTCCTCACACGGTGGTATAGGTACAT